GAACGCACCCACTAATACACGGAACGCGCACGACGCGCGCACGACGCGCGCACGACGCACACGCTGAGTGCAAAAGATTATAACAACTGTTCGTTTGAAATGTTTACGAGTGCGAGGGTATGCATAATTGGATGACATAACAGACGGAACGGTTTATTCCACGAGGCGAACCGTTTCATCTGTCACCTCGTGCAATTATTCTTACCATAACACTCATAAACATTCATTATTGGTATATTACTGCTCTCGTGGACAGGTTATACGCGCGCGTTACATGCCTCTTCGGCCAATTCAGAAAGAAACTGCATCATACACGTGGACCCACCACTTACAAGCTCTCATTGGACAAAGACTAAAGTTGCGCGTTAGCTTCCTGTTCCATGGTGTCATGTAAAACTCCATGTGCCGTGGGCGTGATTTAAACTGAAATGACGTCACATTACGAAACTGATGGGCTGGTTGACTCGCCAAATGCATGCGCGCATCAAGTTGAAGAATACACGCATCAGAATGGTGCCAGTGCAGTCATGACGTTTTGAGTTTCCATCTTGTAATTGGATAAAAACTTTTAGGAAACAACTTTTGATACCACGATTAAATTGGCTCTGCGAACGACATGACAAAATCAATCCATCAATATGATTTTGATATTTTAAAAATATATTAAATTTTTCCATTCATTTGGAAAAACACTACTTCTGGTTTGAAAAAATAATACAAGAATGTTCTCCTTTTTGGTTCTACAGCTCAGTGGGACTGCGTAAATGTTTTCACGCGTCAGTACAATGGGACAGTATCCATGGCCTGTCCAAGGTATTCTTTCGGGCCACCTACATGTTCTGAATGTCTGCCCTGGGCCAACGTTACGAACAGGAAGTACGGACCTAGGAGCGGATCCAACACAGGTACGCAGTGGGAACGATGCCCGTGTCTGAATGACTTGGCTGCGGCTTGTAATTGCACACGAGTCTACGACAGTGGCTGCAGCCACATCTCACAGCATAGTGTGTGATTCTAAGTCGTGGCCAGTAATAATTTAGACTCAGCCCAAGATGGCCGGGGTCAGTTTCATGAAGCTGTTTAGCACACTCAATATGTGCTTAGTAAAAACAGGCTAGCAGCCACAATGTTGAATATATTGTTGCCTCGACACTAATCGCGCTGATGTTTTGCACAATTGGGTTAGCAATAACTTCCACTTAGTTGGTCCGCGAACTTTGTGAGAGAGTCCAGACGTTAGATTCGTTTTTATCAAATTTGAAAAAAATGGACGTTCTTGGCTCATGCCACCGGACAGGTTTGTGTGCGATGGGCACAGCTTGTAAGTGGTTTTCCTCTGACGCTGCTTTTATTATTAAAGTTTTTAAGACGTATGTTCTTTTCTGTTATCTTGGAAACTTGGCAAGCGCTTTTTGGCAAAAGATAAAAGCACCTGCTTATTTCCTCATTCGCACAAGAAGTCATTGTACAGTATTCAGAAAACTCACCAATATAATCACAGTATTGAATACTATTTGACACAGATTTGGTGGAGAACTATTGCCGGTTCGTCGGTGATAAGGCAGGGCCGATGTGTTACTACCAGGCTCAAGATGGTAGCATCAAACTGGAGTTCTGCAGAATTCCTCCGTGTCATGGTAAGCCATAAAGTATGAGACTATACTGAAGTATTTCATTCATGAACATGCACGTGACAAGGGCTTAGGTGCGTGCGTATTGGATATTGTGTTAATTATACCCAAACGTCCAGACATTGGCGTAAGTATTGTTGCCTGTCAAACTGCGAAAACCACGCATAGATAGAACGAATTCAGATATCAAGGCCATAAAGCTCACATGGCTTTAAAGTGTGGCTGCAATGAATTTTTCTTCGACACAATTTTTTTTATTTTTTTACATTTCTTGAATGTATGAAAACTCTTACACACTCACATTTGGTTAAATGCATTGAAAAGTGCACACTTTTAAACATTCAAAATTGTCCATGTTTTCCCGGACAACTGCGGGCGTTGTTGCTGTGAAGTCATCAAGGTTCAGTCAACATGGTTCAGTGCATAAGTATTTCTGTTCAAATTGTGAACCCAGAATTTACGGACTGAAAACATTCCTGAGAGGGAATTTATGCTTTCTAATTGCTATGCACATAAATAACAATGAAACAGCAAAAACGAGAAAACTTAGTCCAGGAAGATTTACAAAAATGCAGGACGTTTGTGTACAAACCAATTTAACATTGAATCTTCTTCCTGCGATGACATCACAGTTTTGCTCATGAATATGGAAATACTCATTAGCATAAAACTAAAAGGCATGAAGATACCCTTTGAAATAGTGAAACCAAAGTTGAAAATAAGGTTTACTGAGCACAAAGGTGCATTTTACAGGTTTTTAATAAAAACATTGATTGGAGCTACCCTTAACGTCAGTGGTAATTGCCTACCAGTATTGTTTTACCAAAAGCTGTTTGGAGGGGGAATCTAGGTTGATTCGTAAACACTGATGAACCTAACTGTTAATCCTTCATCACACAATTAATTTTTCATGGCTTATCATGCAATGCGAATAGCCATGTCGATGGAATAAATTCAGGTATTGAAGCCGGCTTGTTCTAAAGGCTCATTGACAATAAGTCTGTGATAATTGCCCATACCAGTTCGGTTATACCAAGGCAAATGATGAAACCTGATATGGGTCGATTAATGAACCTTTTCATTCTATTAATCTTTCATCAAAGAATTCAATTCCAAGAGATTGGTGTTGATAAAAAGACTAAGACGCTATTGAGGCATTTCTTCCCAAGATGTAACCTACGAACTCATTTAAGTCACTAAACCAAAAGCTTTTAAACATAATACCTGTATAAAAAGTCGTGTTCTTATTTCCAATTGATTTTAGATTTAAAACTCCCGTTTTCTCTCTACAACCATGTCTGAATGTTTTGCTGTGAAGGTGACATACTTTCCAAGGAAAACTCAGAAGTGATTCGTTTTCACCTCAAACTTATATACACACATTGTACAAGCGATTCATGCAAGTCTGTCTTCAGAGGGGCACCAAAGGAACTAATGGCCTCTGAGATCGGGATGGGATGTTGGTCATGGGGTTCCAAACTGTGACAACTTAAATATATTGGGTGCCAATTCTTGCAGCATAAGAGCCCTCTCCACTCAAACCTCCAATGGTGCAGCCTTTTCTTCAGTCTTGTATAAAAGTGCGCCATTTACGTAGCTATTGTGCATATAAATCCAGCACATTCTGGATGTATGACGGGCAACGGGACAGACTACCGCGATCATGCCATGTTCACGGAAGGTGGCTACAGTTGTATGCATTGGAGTGAGGTACTAGACCAAGATGTCAACCCAACCTCGTACCCAGATGCAGGTAATGATGGGGACTTTATGCCATTTATCAAAGTTTGCCTACTAAATGGCCAAACGTTATCAGATCCACATCCGAGACGAAATGGCACAAGTTGGCACGCTCCTTAAAATCAGGACGTTTCTTTTGCATAGAACACTTTTTGAAACACTTTCGTGTAAACTTTCAATCTGTAGAATTGTTAAAATGCTAAACGTGTTAAGAGCTTTAATGGATAGTGTTTAGCCGTTGGATATTGATGTTTAGGAATTGCACATCACATATTCTGCATCTAGGCTAAACTTGTTAAACTGATTGCAGTGAATTGCTACACGTTTTGTGAATTGGCCAATGGGATCGGTGCCTTTGTCATCACATTCTGATTTTTTCCCAGCCGAAAAACTTAGTTTTGTAGCGGTACCGTTAGCCAAGTCACTGGACAGAGTCCAATTTTATATTCATCCTTTCGTAGCATGCCAGCAGTTGGCAATGGAATGTGCTACAATACGCTTCGGCATGTTTGGTTTTATTGGAGTAAACATTCACATTTTATGATAGATCCGTCTTGTCGTGCTTGACAATAAAGACGCTATGTTTTGCACTTTTTTGCAATATTGATTTCCAGGTTTAGACGCGAACTATTGTCGCAATCCCGACAATAGCAGTCGGCCATGGTGCTACTATCGCGACCAAGATATGCTAATTAAAAGAGATTTTTGCCCAATCGACACATGTGAGTATAGCTTCATTTACATGATGTCAAACATTTTTTCTAGACTTGGTCTTTGGGGGAAATATAAAAATTCGCCTTTTATATAAACAAGTAAAATAAACCTTTTTGCGCACAAAACTTAGATTAATAATACGCGTACTTAAGATTTGTTGGTGTCCTTGGATTGATGACGTCATCAGCCATTCATCAAAGTGCATTGAGCGAAATAAAAAGATAGTCATCCGCCATAAAACAGTAACTCCTACCGGCATAAATCTTTTGTCTCTCTGGCCTTCGCCACTTACTCAACACTTCAACTAAATGCTTCAAAATATACACGTCAATGCATAGGGAAAATGCCAGAAAAAATGCCCAGTGATCGTGCTACCGACATATTTTGTTTGTTTTTTAGACACGGAGATCGTAATTGGATCATCAGCTTTTGTTTACACACCAACGTAGCCAGGAAGGAAATGCAGAAAACTTAATACATGCAAACCTTTTTCTCGCGATTTAATTACATGTGTTTTCTGCTCAGGATGAGGAATATCTCCATTATTCAGGTTAATGATGTTTTTCTCGAAAACACACCATTTCATCAAAATGTAACCAACTATGAGGCACATTGGTTTGTGGCCAAATATTCAAAAAAGTGAATTATGTTCAGTTGGCAAGGCCTGGTTTGTCATGAAGCAAATTTCAGAGAAAATGTCGAAAACCAGGAGAAACATATGCAGTTGAACCCTCATTGCAAGGGCCTACCAGGACCGGAAACTAAGACTTCAAGACAGTGATCGACTTGGAATACCCCCTTTGCCATATTAAACATTTGTGCTAGGCCAATTAACCAATCCTCTTACTATCGGGGTTCGACTATAGGCCTACCCTTAAAACTTTGATTGAATTCGATATTGAGAGCCCACCAGTAGCCCTCCAGTAAAACTTGTCACAACCAATTTGTAGGCAAATTTGATGTCCTGGGGCAGTTCCAGCGCCACTTCAGAACTTACATCCCGGCCCACAACACCAAATACCTCCGGGGTTGGTGGTGGGACATGACGGCAGAGGATTGTGCTCGTTTCTGTTTGGAGGAGCGGACTTTTGTGTGCCGTTCCTTCGAATACCGCGAGGAGTATTACTTCGATGACCGGAGATGTATTCTGACGGACCAGAGTCTCCACACACTGGATATTTACCGGTCAACCACATCTGGCACGGCCATCGATCTCTTCACGCGGATAGATACAAGTAAGTTGATATGACATGTTTATGCTTCGTCGATTCCCAGGCTTGCTGGGGTGTATAGGATGGGAAAATGGATTCGTAGAACCTGCGATATTCACCTCGTACCGATGCGGTTAAAAAGTTCACTCAGCACATCAGTGGGTAAAACTGAATAATTTCAAGTATTTTGTGTTATTAAATTCCGAATTTAATCTCCGGGTTTAATTGATTAGTATACTTTCAACTGACATATAGGCATACCACTTCAGACCAATGAGATCACCGAATTTTAACCACCCATACTTTCTTTCTTAATCGGTGTGATTCCCTGACGTACTTATGACTTTGAAACGCAAAGACATTGCCTAACAGCCAGTGCCTGACTAAAGTACATTCGCACGCGCATGCGATGTTTTAGTACTGGTTCCCGCTAACATTTATCAAAATTCGACTCTATTTAAGCATAGAATTAAGCATGAATTGGTTCGATGCACCTAATTGGTTTAGAATGTGACGGATGGATCATTCGTTCAGATTTTTAGACAGAGATGCATCCAGCAATGTGTGGCGCCGAGTTAATGTTTTGTTTAGCTGGTAGGACCTCCATCATGCGCAAGATGGATGTCGTAGACGAGCTGTAATTACTGTGCGGGTACATTGCAAACATATCATGCTCACGGAGGAGTTTTCGTCACACCTGGCTGAGAGCATAGTTTACATGTCTCGCTGTATTGGGCTATGGTCTACTCTCATAAGACACATCATGTATGAACGTCAAGGTTAGGGATTTAGTTCATCCACGCGTAGCTCATTACAAAAATGTCCCATGAGGGTATCCCATGGTGAATTGGGCACCATGTAGCATGGGTTTTTTACCCATGGGATTTTGCCCATGCGTATTTCAAGAACCCCAAATCTCCCAAAATATCCCATGGTGATTTAATTGTCATATCCCATGGTGATTTTCCCACACATCCAATGGTGATTTTCCCATCCATCCCAAGGTGGTACACTGGTTGCCCCATTTGTCCCATGGCGGTTGCCCCACTTTTCCCATGGTGATTGTCCTCCGCATCCCATGGTGATTTTTCCGTTTGTACCATGGTGGTTGTCCCATTTGTCCCATGGTGATTGTCCCATGTCGATTGTCCCTTGCATCCCATGGTGTTTGTTCCATGTCAATTGTTCCTTGCGTCCCAAGTTGATTTACCCATGCCTCCCATGGTGAGTGTCCTGTGCATCTCATGGTGACGGACAAAGTTGCAGTCATCAAATCAACATTCCATTCCAAACTGTGTATAGTTCATGCCAATGCTGCATTTTAATGGCAGCAGCTAATGTGGTTTACAATACAACAAAGCCTCTAAGTGTACCTGTGTAGATGCCATATCGATGCAAATCCCAGTGTTCTCTTGATGGTTGCAAAAATTTGAATAGTAATTGTGTGGCGTTTCCATGGTGTCCGCATACAAATCACATTGTATTCCCATGTAGAGTAGAAAAACCTTATGG